GAGAGATTAACATAAAAATTTATATGCATATATGCATAACCCATGGTCACAAACAATAGTGAGGTGAAGGCCTGGGAGGAGGGGATCAATGGGGGGAAAAAGGAGACATTTGTAATACTTTCAACATAAAAATTTTCCTAATAAATAAATAAATAATAAAATTAGTCCTTCTTCAAACATCCCTGTCTCTGCCTCTTGCTTAGCTATGCAATCAAAGTCACTGAACCTCTCTAAGCCTCAGGGGTTTTTTTTCCAATTGTAAAAGGAAGCTTATTAGAACAGGCCACATACTGGGAGAATTAGAGTAGATATGTGTAAAGCACGTGATATAATGCCTGGAACATGATAAGTGCTTTATAAGTTATAGCTCTTATTACAAAAATACTATTATTATTAGCCTACAAGACCTAATACTAGCCTTCATCCTACCCACCCAAGCAGCAATTAGTGTAAGTCATATTAATGATCTAGATCACTGCTCCTCAAAATTTTAGTGAGCAATGGAATCAAACTGGAGAGCTGCTTAAAAAAACAAACAAACAAAAAAAACTTTATTTTTTATAAGTTTCAAATTTACACAATTATTGCAAAGATAGTAAGAGAGTTCCCATATACCCTGCCCACAATTTCCCCTACTATCTCACATTAGCATGGTGTATTGGTCATACTCAATAAACCAATACTGATAATAATGTTGATGCTTTATTCAGATTTCTTTAGTTTTTCCTTATTAAACTTTTTTCTGTTCTAGGATCCCATTCAGAATACCACATATACATTGTGTAGTCATATCCTGTAGCTTTCAAAACACTAGTTATTGAAGTCCAGATATTCTAAAGAGAGGAGGTAGGAGGTAGGGCCCCAAAATTTACACTTCTAACAAATTCCCAAAGATTGCTGATTGGGCCAATACAAAAAATACACTTAAAATAGCACTGATCTAGATTCTACACACCAGACCTGTGCTGTTCAATACAACAGCCAATAGCCAAATGTGGCTATTGGGCATTTAATGTGTGGCCAATCCAAACTGAGATGTGCTGTGTCAAGTACACATGGGATTTTGAAGACAGTCAGAAAAAAAAAGAATGTATAAGAAATCATTAATAACTTCATATTCATTATATGATAAAATGATAAAAATGTATTTCACTTGCGTCTTTCCCCTCACTTTACCTTTATCATTTAGCTACTTAAAAAAAAATCTTCAAAATTACACAGGTGACTGGAATTTATTTCTATTGACTAGCAGTGGTCTGTGTTCTGGGCAGAAGAGCAGCATGGGTTATCACCTGGGGGACTGTTAAGAGTTCAGGTGATTCCCACACACATTCAAGTCTGAGAAGCACTCGATTACCAACAGGGAAGGGGCAGTTAGAGATGTCAGCATTTGGCAGCTCAGTTCAAAGAAAAATGTATATCAATAGCAAAATGAAACTGCAGGATATTTATTAAGTCAGTAAGTCAATAAAAGTTAACAGGAGAATGGCTGAATCACTGCAAAGCCATCCACAAATGAGGATGTGGCACAATTAGACCAGTTAACAACTAAAGAAAAGAAAAACCACAAAGATAGTGGCCCAATGAGTTCCTCAAAATAGCATGCTTTGAAAAGCAGGATTTAGGAGGGGGAGAGAGTAACCAAAGAATTTACGTGCATATATACACAATCCAAGGACATGGACAATGGTGGGGAGAGGGACTGGGGAGGGGGAAGGAACGGACGGGGTGGAACGGGTCATTGGGGAGAAAAAGGGACATCTGTA